CAAAAGCCCTTTGCCCCACCCCGGCCATTCCACAGATATATAAACCCCTTTTTTCCCAGTTCCAGCAGACCTCACTACCTCTGAGGATGCTTGCCATAGATGCAGGCGAAATGTCAGGAGAAATGCCTCTAGAACATGGCCACAAGAAAAAACCCACAAGAACTGAGTATTTACAGTTACTTACAGAGAAACAGCACCAGAGGCAATCATGACACATCATACAGGGAGCATACCACCCCCTTGTTGTGTCAGCTCCACTGGCTGCCGATCCGGTTCCGAGCACAATTCAAAGTGCTGGTTTTGACCTACAAAACCCTATACGGTTCCGGCCCAGCGTATCTGTCCGAACGGATCTCCCTTTACGTCCCACCTTGGAGTTTAAGATCTTCTGGGGAGGTCCTGTTCTTGGCCCCGCCTCTATCATGAGTGAGATTGACCGGGACAAGGAGGAGGGCCTTCTCGGTGGTGGCCCCCCGCCTGTGGAATTCACTCCCCGGGGAAATTAGATCTGCAACATCGCTCCTTTCCTTTAGGAAAAAACTAAAAACATGGATCTGGGACCAGGCATTCGGACAATCGGGCAGATAAAGAAAGAACTTTGACGATTATTAGGAAATGATTAATGGATTAGATCTACGGAACTCTGAAAGACGAAACGCTGATCATGAGAATAGTTTTATATGATGTGTTATGTACTGGTTGTTTGATTGTTTTAACTGTGATAACTGCTTTTAACTATGGTTTTGTATATTATGTGTAATTTGTATAGGCATTGAATTGTGCCTTTTTTGTAAGCCGCCCTGAGTCCCCCTCGGGGGTTGAGAAGGGCGGGGTAAAAGTACCCAAAATAAAAATAAATAAATAAATAAAAAAGAATATTAACTTATATAGAATCATAGAATCATAGAATCAAAGAGTTGGAAGAGACCTCTCCTGGGCCATCCAGTCCAGCCCCATTCTGCCAAGAAGCAGGAATATTGCATTCAAATCACCCCTGACAGATGGCCATCCAGCCTCTGTTTAAAAGCTTCCAAAGAAGGAGCCTCCACCACACTCCGGGGCAGAGAGTTCCACTGCTGAACGGCTCTCACAGTCAGGAAGTTCTTCCTCATGTTTAGATGGAATCTCCTCTCTTGTGGTTTGAAGCCATTGTTCCGCGTCCTAGTCTCTAGGGAAGCAGAAAACAAGCTTGCTCCCTCCTCCCTGTGGCTTCCTCTCACATATTTATACATGGCTATCATCTCCTCTCAGCCTTCTCTTCTTCAGGCTAAACATGCCCAGCTCCTTAAGCCGCTCCTCATAGGGCTTGTTCTCCAGACCCTTGATCATTTTAGTCGCCCTCCTCTGGACACATTCCAGCTTGTCAATATCTCTCTTGAATTGTGGTGCCCAGAACTGGACACAATATTCCAGATGTGGTCTAACCAAAACATAATAGAGGGGTAGCATTACTTCCCTAGATCTAGACACTATGCTCCTATTGATGCAGGCCAAAATCCCATTGGCTTTTTTTGCCGCCACATCACATTGTTGGCTCATGTTTAACTTGTTGTCCACGAGGACTCCAAGATCTTTTTCACACGTACTGCTCTCGAGCCAGGCATCCCCCATTCTGTATCTTTGCGTTTCGTTTTTCCTGCCAAAGTGGAGTATCTTGCATTTGTCACTGTTGAACTTCATTTTGTTAGCAGGTATCCAAGGTGCATTCAGGAAAGGAAGAGGCACTAGGTATCGTATTGCAAAACTTAAACATAAACATACACTTCAGAGGCAGATGTGAATGACTGTTTACTTCTTTTCCACAGATTAAGAAGGAAGGGACGCTCTGCAGGGAAGCTGCTACTGAATGCGACCTGCCGGAATATTGCAGTGGGAGTTCGGTCGATTGCCCAGCTGATGTCTATAAGCTAGATGGGACGCCGTGCGGGACCGACCACCGCTGCTACTTTGGGGAATGCCTTGATCTCCATCAGCATTGCAGGATTCTCTTTGGCCAAGGCAAGACTCACTCCTAGCTTACTTCTTATCACACAGAATCATAGAATGATAGAGCTGGAAGGGACCCCCAAAGACCATCCACTCCAACCTCCTGTCATGAGCAATCCAACAGGTTATCATTACACTATGTACAAAAGATTGAAAGTGTTATTTCCTGTTTAATTGCGTGGTCCTGACCTTGAAAGTAGTTGTTCTACTCCAGAAACCTCCTTTTTGTGTCTGCCACAAACTACAATGAATTGGTTGAGAGTCTATCAGGTATTCATTGAAAAACTATAGCAAAATGTGCTGCAGGATGTCCGCCAAAAACATTATTGAAGGCTTTGATGGCTGGAATCACTGGGTTGCGGTGAGTTTTTCAGCCTGTCTGGCCATGTTCCAGCAGCAATCTTTCCTGACGTTTTGCCTGCATCTGTGGCTAATGGCATCCTCAGAGATCTGTTGGAAGTGAGGCAAGTCGAGTATATATATATACCCATGGATTAATGTACATGGTGGGAGAAAGAAGCCTTGTCTGTTTAAAGCAAATGTGCAATTAGCATACTTGAATCAGCATTTGAGTATCTATGAAGTTTTCAAAGTCAATCAGTGAAGGTATCTGCAGAGAGGTAGCCTGGCCTTTGTTGCCTGGAGGCACCCTGTTTGGGAGATGTTCACTGGCCCTGGATTGCTTGTTGTCTGGAGTTAATTATTTACTATCTTGCCTCATTAATAATTTGCCTATGGAAGGTCAAAGGTCTTGAAGTTAAAAATATGCTATTGAAGACAATGTAAAGTGGAATTTTTGTGATGCTTGTATGATGCACACACATTATTATAAAGGATATATAAACCAAGGCAATTCCTTTGTTTAGCACCCCGTTTTCTGGAATACCAGTGTTGCAGCATAGATAGGAGAGATACTATCAAGAGAGACCCTTTCCAGAGAAAAGAAAAGTACGGCTTTATTTCCAGCTGGGACTCTGGTGAGGAGTTCTCCAAAAGCACCAGAGCACTGAAATAGGTGCTGACTGTGGCTTTTATACCCTCCAATCGCAGTCAAACAAAGAACATGCTTCTACATACGCTGACATCATTCACTGCATCATCTTAGTATCATAAAAATATCAAGTTCTATTTTCCAACATGCAAAAGGCATGTGTCCGTGTCTTTCTGAAGAGCAAGCATCTTACATTCATCAATCAAGGGGCCTAACTTTGACCTGTCATGAGGGAGAGGCATTGGCTCCTTTTGTACCAGCCTCTGTGGCTTATCTCTCTCTTGGAATGTATAGATAACATGCCTCCCTCTTCAGCTCCTCTCTTGTTGTGCCTGGACGCAGCTTGCTTGTCCGTTAGCATTCTTTCTATATAGAGAGAGAACCTGATTTTTCTATATATTTCAGTGCTTGTAAAGTACATACAATTTATTCATAAATAAATATCTATATTTCCAATATCTCCTCATCACCAGCAGGGTCCATATCCGGTTGGTGCCAACTGGGAATAAACCGTACTTTTGCAGACCTCAGGAACACTCTTTTGTCTCTTTTCCTCAAACCTTCTCCTTGCAATTTCCAAACCGTTGTTTTTTCTGTGGTATTGTTGAAGGCACAATGCTTTTAATCCCTAGCCTGTGTTTCCAATTAAGACTAGAAACCAAGGAGATTCTTAAGATTCTAATGATTTATTTTGCAAGGCCTGTCATAAATCAAGCCAAGAAAGTACCACACAGAGCAAAGAAATGGCAGCAGCTTTTATGCATGGTTTTAAACTTCACCACACTCACATAGAATAATAGAATCCTAGAGTTGGAAGAGACCTCATGGGCCATCCAGTCCAACCCCATTCTGCCAAGAAGCAGGAATATTGCATTCAAAGCACCCCCAACATATGGCCATCCAGCCTCTGTTTCAAAGCTTCCACAGAAGGAGCCTCCACCACACTCCGGGGCAGAGAGTTCCACTGCTGAACGGCTCTCACAGTCAGGAAGTTCTTCCTCGTGTTCAGATGGAATCTCCTCTCTTGTAGTTTGAAGCCATTGCTCCATTGCGTCCTAGTCTCCAGGGAAGCAGAAAACAAGCTTGCTCCCTCCTCCTCCCTGTGGCTTCCTCTCACATATTTATACATGGCTATCATACCTCCTCTCAGCCTTCTCTTCTTCAGGCTAAACATGCCTAGCTCCTTGCAGAGAGAAAGCAACTTGTCAGAAGGAAGAGGGTGTTTAAAGAAGACAAGAAGTTTTGCACCCCTCTCTCAGAGGTGACATTTAAAGTGCAGTGCTAGCTATATGCCTGACTTAAATTGCTGGTGCAAGATTACCCAGCTTACATAGGAAATAGGTTTGCGGTGAAGCGCAGGAAAGAACAAATTGTGGTTTTGACAAAGGTTCAGGTGGCCAGGTGCAAGAAAATGCTGATTATCAACAAGTTGGAGAGAGGGGGTGTTGGAAAAGAGTAAAAGGTCAACCGTCAAAGATACTTTCCATTTTGCTTTGTTTACTTGAGGGTATAAAGGCTTGCAGAAATCAAGGAAGGGTGCGGCAGTCATTCGCAAACGTTGGTGCCTGCGTGTACTTAACGTGGCTGTCCGACATCTTCATGAAGAAACTAAAATAAACCTTGTTTTTAAAATCTTTTTTGGGACTGTCTCCTTCCTTACGTGCTCCCATGACGTGGACCTAAGAATTAAGACCCGATTTAGGGTCACTAACAGTTGTATATCATTGTGCCAGAAATGAAAGGAGAAGCCTTTGCCTTTGTCTGTGCATTTGTGTTTCACTGTAGTCTCATTTGTAACAAGGCATTCAATGTTTGCCTGTGTTTGTTTATATGTTGTAATTTGCTCTGAGTCCCCTCGGGGGTAAGGGCTGAATAATAATAATAATAATAATAATAATAATAATAATAATAATAATAATTATGTTTACTACCATGTCTCCATGTTGTGGAATCATGGAAGCGGTGGGATTCTCTTTCCATCTTCCTGACCACCATGTTCTCCTTTTCGCCAACATCTAGGTGCAACACCTGCTCCGCTGAATTGCTACAAAAAAGTGAACATGAGAGGAGACCGGACTGGCAACTGTGGGAAGGACGGCAATAAGTACAAGAAATGCAGAGAAGAGTAAGTTCCTAGGCTTGTTTGGGAATGTGTCCGGTTTCTTTGGCCCTATGTAATGGAGCAACTTGACCGCCAGAAGAACTTTATTGTTACCATTATCATCATTAGTATAATGATTACTATCCTGCTTTCTTCTCTTAATGAGGCTCAAAGCAGCCGAGCTGTTGAAATACCTTCAGCGCGCAAGACATACAAATTGCCATCTTTATTTCTGTTGCATCCTAAACTCAGAATGCTTTTGGGACAGTGTCCTTGTCAATCCTCACAAGACAGAGGTCCTCCAGGTCCCCCATTCTGCCCAGAAGCAGAAATATTGCATTCAAAGCACCCCCGACAGATAGCCATCCCGACTCTGAGTAAAAGCCTCCAAAGAAGGAGCCTCTACCACACTCTGGGGCAGAGAGTTCCACTGCTGAACAGCTCTCCCAGTCAGGAAGTTCTTCCTAATGTTCAGGTGGAATCTCCTTTCTTGAAGCTTGAAGCCATTGTTCCATGTCCTAGTTTCCAGGGCAGCAGAAACAAGCTTGCTCCCTCCTCCCTATGACTTCCTCTCACATACTTATACATGGCTTTATATATGGTTGCTTTATATGTCTCTGTTGCATTTGTTGTTCTCTGCCATCCAACCGGCTTCATCTTGTGTGGCCCCAAGAGAGATGAGATTGCAGAGACCTCGATCATCAACAGCTCTGCAATAGTCTTGCAAACTTAGAGTGTTAGAGACCCTAAATTGGGTCTTCTTAGGTCCACGTCACGGGAGCACGAAAGGAAGGAGACTGTCCCAAAAAAGATCAAAAAACAAGGTTTATTTTGGTTTCTTCATGAAGAAGACAGACAGCCTGACAGCATACGCAGATGCTACCCTTCAAGTGACTGCCGCGTCTTCTTGGCTTTTTACCACCAATATATAACCTCAAGTAAACAAGAACATTTTTTGTCATGGAAAGACTCTCTTTCCAGCCCCCTCCCTTGACCTTTTGATGGAAAGTACCTTATTGTACCTGCAGACTCTGCGCTTAACCACAACCTTTGAATTTAACCACAATGCAACTTCAGACCTCTACATGTCACATCTTGTTTCTTAAAAACATTTTCTTCCGTGTTGCTCTTTTTCTACAGAGAAAGGGTATGTTTCTCTTTTGCTGTTAATTTCATTCAAAGCCCCTTGCTTAGCATCCTTCAAGAGCAGCTACGTTTTCCTGGACGGAGTCCATCCACACCAGGACTAAGGCCTTCCCAGAGTTGCCAGGCTGAAAACTAGGGAAAGGTGCATGCAATGGTTGTGCGGAAAAGAGAGTTTTGGCTAGTGCAGCTGGCCATCTGATTGCTCTCATCCAAGATGAAGGACCTGCTGAGACTATTCATCCTTTTCCTTTTGTGCCAGAGATGTCTTTTGCGGAAGGATCCAGTGCACCAATGTCAAGAAAATCCCAAAGAATTTGCCCCGGCGAGGCGTGATCCAGACTCCTGTGGATGACATCTTGTGTTTGGGGACCGAATTTCATGAAGAAGGGGACGTGTATGACCTTGGGGCGATAAAAGATGGGTCAACGTGTGGTCACGACATGGTAATTTAATGCAAGTTGTAGAAAGACAGAAGGGATACGAAGGGCATTCAGAATTATTAGTTATCACCAAGGCTGCGTCTTTGCTGTAGAATGAATGTGTTGTCAACAATCAACAACCCCCTCCGCAAAAAGATAAATTCAAGATGAGTTCCAAAGTCAAACATGAATTTATCATGCTTTGTAGGCAGGGGGTTATTTATTATTATTTATTTATTTACAGTATTTATATTCTGCCCTTTTCGCCCCACATTGTTTGACTCCACATTCCTCTCTAGATGTAGGTGAACTACAACTCCAAAACTCAAGGCCAATGACCACCAAACCCTTCCATGGTTTTCTGTTGGTCATGGGAGTTCTTGTGTGCCAAATTTGGTTCAATTCCATCCTTGGTGGAGTTCAGGATGCTCTTCAATTGTAGGTGAACTATAAATCCCAGTATAATCACAACTGCCGTACCTTCAAATTGTAACGAATCCTACTGCATTTATAACAAATTCAACCTGCTGTACCATCAAATTATAAAGGATCACACCGCTGCTCACCAAATTATAATAACCACATAGCAGCCTACCAAATTATAACGATGACACCACTACAGATTAGCTCACCAAAGTATAAAGGGAGTATGGTTGTTGAAAACCAACTGTACATTTACAAGCTAGGAACTGGGAACCACTGGAACTGTGAGACTTAAAAGAATTCTTTAAAAGGTTTCCGCTGCCACCATATTATTAAAGAACAGGCTGAGGTACTATTGAGAGGTTGTTCATTGACACACTCTGTGTTACTCTAGTTTTCTTAGAGGCTGGTAAAAAGCTGACTTGAATAACACTTTTACCACAAAGGTATTCACACTGAGGCTGGTATAAATTGGTAAAAATAACAATAACTTTTATTGAACGGAGTTATATATTTCAGGTACAAATGCTTGATGGTTTCAGTAAAAATCTGGCATACAAAGCTTGTGGTTACATTTGAGAAGAGATCTTAAAACTTCTGGGTTAAAAGTCTTAAAGTTTCCACACAGAGAATTCCTTCAAGAAATGAATCTCTGAAAGTAACTCCCACAAAAATCCGCCTAAGGAATCTAGCCAAGACCGGAACTAGCCTTCCTTAAGGAAAAGAACAGACCACTAACAGGGTGCTGCTTCCCACAGTATTTTAGCTATATTTCTCTATAGCTACCCTGAATACTAAACAAAAGACTGACCCAAAGTTCTTCTCCAAAACCCCAAACTACTCTCACTAACACCCTTTCCACGCTTCAACTCTCCACTCGCAACTCTCAACTCCCAAACTCACAATCTCAGAACTCAAGCCTCAATTTAAAAGTCACTTTTTTCCTTCAGGTAACTTAGGCTCCACCCCCATCCTAAACTTCTAACGTTCCCTCCAAGACTAGAATATGCCCCCTAACCTAAGATGGCATCTCCCTGTCTCCTTTCTCTAAAATGGATGCTGTGGCTTCGCCAGACCCACTCTCCTAGGCCTAAGCTAGCTTGCCAAGGTAAGGGATTCATTACACGCAGCAACAACAACACTCCAAATGATAAAATCAATCCCACCCAACCCCACCAGTATTCAAATTTGGGTAGATCAGGTATTTGTGCCAAACTTTGCTCAGTGAACGAAAACACATCCTGCACATCAGATATTTACATTACGAAAACGGTAGCAAAATTGAAATTGTGAAGTGGTGGTTGATGGTCCCCACAACATGAGGAACTTTAATTAAGGGGTCACGGCATTAGGAAGGTTGAGAAACATTGTGCTGGAGCAGAGATGTCTAGACATAATTCAGCCCATGGGGGAAAAGACGCGAGTATTCCTATGATTTAACTATAACATTTGACACTTCCTTTCCTAGATGTGCATCAATAGGACCTGTGTCAATGTGATGGCTCTGAATTCCGACTGCGATTTATCCAAGTGTAACAACCAAGGGGTAAGTAGCCAGGATGTTAGCCTCCCAGACCAGGATAGGTATAATATAATATGGGATATGAAGCCATACACACACACACACACACACACACACACACACATATATATAATGTTCGTTTGTGGGATTAACATAACTCAAAAAACTACCAGACAAATTGACTCCAAATTTGGACACTATGCCCCTAACTGACCAATGAGTGACCATCACTCATAACCCCCCCCCCAAAAACAGTGGAAAGGACTTAAAACCCCAAAAAGCTAAATGATGAAAAGCTAAATGACAATACAGAAAAAAGGGAGGGAAGGAAGGGGAGAAAGAAAGAAAGAAAAAGAAAGGAAGGAGAGAAAGAGGGAAGGAAATAAAGAAGGAAAGAGAGAAGGAAGCATGGAAGCAAAGAGCGAAGGAAGGAAGGAAAGAAGTAGAGAAGAAAGAAAGGAGAGAAATAAAGAAAGAGGTAGAGAAGGAAAGAAAGAGAGAAAGACAGAAAAAAGGGAAGGAAGGAAAGAGGGAGAAGGAAGGAGAGAAAGACAGAAAAAGAGGGAGGGAAGGAAAGAAGGAAAGAGAGAAGGAAGGAAGCGACAAGCAAAGGAAGGAAAGAGGTAGAGAAGGAAGAAAGGAGAGAAAGAGGAAGGAAAAGAAAAAGGGGAAGGAAAGAAAGAGGTAGAGAAGGAAGGAAGGAGAGAAGGACAGAAAAAGGGAGCGAAGGAAGGAGGGAAAGAAGCATAAAAAAGAAAAAAAGAGGGAGGGAAGGAAGAAGGAAAGAGAGAAGGAAGAAGCAAAAAGCAAAGGAAGGAAAGAGGTAGAGATGTAAGAAAGGAGAGAAAGAGGGAGGAAAAGAAAAAGAGGAAAGAAAGAGGTAGAAAAAGAAGGAAGGAGCGAAGGACAGAAAAAAGGAAAAGAAAGAAAGAGGGAGCGAAGGAAGGAGGGAAATAAGCACAAAAAAGAGGGAAGGAAGGAAAGAAGGGAAGAGAGAAGGAAGGATGGAAGCAAGGAGCTAAAGAAGGAAGGAAAGGTAGAGAAGGAAGAAAGGAGAGAAAGGGGAAGGAAAATAAAAAGGGGGAAGGAAAGAAAGAGGTAGAGAAGGAAGGAAGGAGAGAAGGAAAGAAATAAGGAAAGGAAGGAAAGAGGGAGCGAAGGAAGGAAGGAAAGAAACAGAAAAAGAGGGAGGGAAGGATAGAAGGAAAGAGAGAAGGAAGCGAAAAGCAAAGGAAGGAAAGAGGTAGAGATGGAAGAAAGGAAAGAAAGAGGAAGGAAAATAAAAAAGGGGAAGGAAAGAAAGAGGTAGAGAAGGAAGGAAGGAGAGAAGGACAGAAAAAGGGAGCGAAGGAAGGAGGGAAAGAAGCATAAAAAAGAGGGAGGGAAGGAAAGAGGGAAGATAGAAGGAAGGATGGAAGCAAAGAACTAATGAAGGAAGGAAAGATAGAGAAGGAAGAAAGGAGAGAAAGAGGAAGGAAAATAAAAAAGGGAAGGAAAGAAAGAAGTAGAGAAGAAGGAGAGAAGGGCAGAAAAAAGGAAAGGAAGGAAAGAGGGAGCGAAGGAAGGAGGGAAAGAAGGAGAGAGGGAAAGTTGGCCACAGCAACATGTGGTGGGTTCAGCTAGTGTGTGTGTGTGTGTGTGTGTGTGTGTGTGTGTGTGTGTGTGTGTGTGTGTGTGCAGTTGGGATTTCTGGGTTTTTCCTGATATGGGAAAACTGGTGCCATTTTTGGAATCTGCAGGTCAAATATACCCAGAGACAGGGCTAACCCTGGAGACACCAAAATGTGTCTTGGCCGGTGTGACAAACGGGGGACAGATTCTCCATTCGTTCCATGCGCTGCTGCTCACATTCTTGATATCCTCCAGGTGTGCAATAGCAACCAGAACTGCCATTGCGCTTACGGGTGGGCTCCTCCGTTTTGCAGCGGCCGGGGATTCGGAGGAAGCCTTGACAGCGGGCCCCCTCCGGAACATGCCAGTGAGTATCACGGCTTTCTTTTTGGACTTACTTTTTGAATTTTGGTCGGCTTTTGGAGGATTTCCCAAATGCATGGATTTGGGATTTGATTTCATGCTTATAATGCAAAAAAGGTATGTTCTCCCTCTCTCCAAATCCATTTAATATATTGTCCTCAAATAGAGGACGTATCAGATATTAAACTGATAAGAACAGATACTACACATTCTATCTATCTATCTATCTATCTATCTATCTATCTATCTATCTATCTATCTACTGTATTTGTATACCGCCCTTCTCAGCACTCAGGCAACTCAGGGTGGTTTACAGTGCCAATGATTTGATGCCCAATACACTATAAAACATAGAATCCTAGAATCATAGAATCCTAGAGTTGGAAGAGACCTCATGGGCCATCCAGTCCAACCCCATTCTGCCAAGAAGCAGGAAAATTGCATTCAAATCACCCCTGACAGATGGCCATCCAGCCTCTGTTTAAAAGCTTCCAAAGAAGGAGCCTCCACCACACTCCGGGGCAGAGAGTTCCACTGCTGAATGGCTCTCGTAGTCAGGAAGTTCTTCCTCATGTTCAGATGGAATCTCCTTTCTTGTAGTTTGAAGCCATTGTTCCATTGCGTCCTAGTCTCCAGGGAAGCAGAAAACAAGCTTGCTCCCTCCTCCTCCCTGTGGCTTCCTCTCACATATTGATACATGGCTATCATATCTCCTCTCAGCCTTCTCTTCTTCAGGCTAAACATGCCCAGCTCCTTAAGCCGCTCCTCATAGGGCTTGTTCTCCAGACCCTTAATAATTTTAGTCACCCATCCTATGTCATTTACCTTGCATTTTCAAACGCTTGCTCAAACAACCAAGTCTTGTCTCTTTTCAGAACTGTTAAGAGGGAGGGAGCCGATCTTATATCCCTGGGGAGGGCGTTCCATAGCCGAGGGGACACCACTGAGAAGGTCCTGTCTCTTGTCCCCGCCAAACATGTTTGTAACGCAGGCGGGATTGAGAGCAGGACCTCCCCGGATAATCCTAAATTCCTAGCAGGCTCATAAGGAATGATGCGTTCAGACAGGTAAATTGGGCCAGAACCGTATAGGGCTTTATAGGCTAAAGATTACATAGGAAATGAGTTTCCACCTGAACTTGAGGAAGAACTTCCTGACTGTAAGAATTGTTCAGCAGTGGAACTCTCGAAGTGTGGTGGAGGCTCCTACTTTGGAAGCAGAGGCTGGATGGACATCTGTCAGGAGTGCTTTGAATGCAATTTTCCTGCTTCTTGGCAGAATGGGGTTGGACTGGATGGCACATGAGGTCTCTTCCAACTCTAGAATTCTATGATTCTATTCCTTTAGAGAACTGGAACTCCCAAGGACCAAAACACTGTAGATAACTCAAAATAGGTTTTATTGTTCACAAAGAGTTATCCCTTTAAGGCAATAAGCTGGAAGTTTCAAAGGGGGTAAAGGAAATATACATTACAGTCTCTGGTTGTCTTGGGTCCAAGGAGATTTCGCAGCTGAGAAGCTTTTCCTGTTCCCTCTTTTCTCAATGGCTGTGAAGGTCGGAACAAACACAACCCCCAGTCCAATGGCCTATGTTGAAGGCACAGAGTCTTCCTTTTGATGCCAAAGGACCGGTTTGAAGGCGCTTGGGTCTCCTCAACATTGTCCAGGGTGATCTGGACATGAAGTGTGAGTCCCAAGGGTAAAAAACCTTAGAATTGGTGATGAGAGGTAACTTAATTAAGGGCTTTAGAGCCAAGTCTCTTTCTCACGTCTATCTGATAGAAAGTTTGATGGTAGAATGGAAAAGGAAAAGCTCTGCCCTCCTCCAGGAAGAGGTGGAGCCAAGCAATTGAGCTGAGGAAGCAATATAACTGGTGCAAACAACATTGATTGACAGCTATAAATAACCAATCAATCCAACTATAATTTACAAACTAGGCAAGTTTGGGCATGTTATACAGTTTAAACCTTTGCACTTTAAAGTTCTATACACAGGTAGCGCCACTTGCGCCGTCACAGTTCCTAAACAACAGGCCCAAAACATGGGACCTGTCTTGGTGTTGGGGTTCAGCCTGAGTTTGAACTTGAACCTGATTCTCTGTTTGTTCCTCCTGATGCTAATGAAAATATATTTACTGATGCTAATGAAAATGTATGCCAATGCTCCTAAAATTAGTGAGGAAGAAACTTCTGTAGATTTGGAAAATGCCAATGCTCCTGAAATTAGTGAGGAAGAAACTTCTGTAGATTTGGAAAATGAAAGTACCAGTGTTCATGAGAATGTTTCAGAGGGAAGCCATGAACTTTCACTCCCTTTTGCACCTGGTAACTCTAATGAGAACAGAAGGGGCCAGATCTGGCAAGACAGAAGTAAATCACTCAGCTTGCAAAGGTCTTCCCGATTAAGAGAAATACAAACAATGGCTTCAAAGCAGAGGGGCGGTTCACGGAACCAATTCTTTGGCTTGAAGTGCCTTCCGCCAGGCTGACTTTCTCAGTTCAGGCATCATTTCAGAATTGATGAAGACCTTGGCAGTTCTCCCGGTTCCCTGGCCATAGTTTGGGAAGATTTCTAGGATATCAAGTACGGTTAGTGGATTGCTAACAGGTTCCAGTATTTCTCAGTGAGGCTTTTGGTTTTGCTTTGTCCATTTAAATTCATGTTTGCTGATTTTGCTGTGGCTTTTGACTTGCATTTTTCCTTTATTTTGTAACCATTTTTCTTCAATAAAAAAGGATTGTTTTTCACAGTCAAGTGTGGTGGATAGTTATCTTAGGGCCTCGTTCCCTGCTCTGGATTGCAACAGGCAGAATATTACTTGCCTGGGAGTCCAGCGGAGCCTCCTTCTTTGGAGATGTATAAACAAGAGACTGGACGGCCATCTGTTTGGAAGGCTTGGGTTGTGTTTTCCTGCCTGATAGGCTGAGGTCAGACTGGATGACCTTTGTTTGCCCCTTTCTTACTCTAGGATTCTGTTGTGACCACTCAAGACCAAGCTATCCTGGTGTAGATGCAAGTCTGTGAACTCTTTCTTCTTTTGTTCCCCCCAGAATCTAAAAAAATGCTGATGCTGGGTTCCCTGGTTGGCGTGGTTTTGCTTTTGCTAACGGTTAGCGTCATGGCCAAGAGATACATCTATGCTTGGTAAGTCATCATAATTCTTGCATTCTTGCATAACGAAGCTCCTTATCTCAGTATCTTCTTCCTGAAATTAGTTCCTTCAAGAAGGACTGCTTAAACTATTTCCACCTTTTCCTCCTGAAGAATGTTTAAGTGATTCCTGTTAGAGACCCTAAATTGGGTCTTCTTAGGTCCACATCAAGGGAACACGTAAGGAGGGAAACAGTCCCAAAAAAGATCAAAAAACAAGGTTTATTATAGTTTCTTCATGAAGAAGACGGACAGCCTGGCAGCATACGCAGATGCTACCCTTCAAATGACTGCCGCCTCCCCTTGGCTTTTGACCACCGGTATATAACCTCAAGTAAACAAGAACATTTTTTTTGTCATGGAAAGTACTCTCTTTCCAGCCCCTTCCCTTGACCTTTTGATGGAAAGTACCTTCTTGTACCTGCAGACTCTGCGCTTAACCACAACCTTTGAACTTAACCACAACACAACTTCCGACCTCTACATGTCACATCTTGTTTCTTAAAAACATTTTCTTCCGTGTTGCTCTTTTTCTACAGAGAAGGGGTATATTTCTCTTTTGCTGTTAATTTCATTCAAAGCCCCTTGCTTAGCATTTGCAAATTTCACTCAAAGACCCTTTCAGGGTTGCCTTTGAAGCTCCCAGGTAAATAGATATAAAATAAAGGGGGAAATTCAAAAGCTGGGTTTCCTAAACAGGCTGTTTTCTCCCCTTTTTTGCGAAGTACAGCTCTCAAGCATCTTCTGCAAGCGTTGCACCTTGTTGCTAAGGGTTTCGTGTGTAAATAGGTGACATTCTCTGCTTTCTTCCATTTCAGTTTACCATCCCTTAGCACAGTGGTTCCCAACCTTCCTAATGCTGGGACCTCTTAATCCAGTTCCTGATGTTGTGCTGACTCCCCAACCATAACATTATTTTTGTTGCTACTTCACAACTGTAATTTTGCTATTGTTATGAATCATCATGTAAATACCAGGATGTATTTTCAATCACTGGACCAAATTTGACACAAATATCCGATATGCCCAAATTTGAATACTGGTGGGGTTAAAGGACTGATTTTGTCATTTGGGAGTTGTAGTTGCTGGGATTCATGGTTCACCTACAATCAGAGCATTCTGAACTCTACCAATGATGGAATTGAAGAAAACCTGGCACACAGAACTACCATTATGAACAGGAAAATTCTGGAAGCCTTAGGTGGGCACTGACCTTAAGTTTTGGAGTTGTAGTTCACCTACATCCAGAGAGCATTCTGAACTACACCAATGATGGAATTGAAGCAAACTTGGCACACAAAACTCCCTTGACTAACAGAAAGTACTGGAAGGGTTTGGTGGGCATTGACCTTGAGTTTTGGAGTTGTAGTTCACCTACATCCAGAGAGCATTCTGAACTCCACCAGTGATGGAATCAAACCAAACCTGGCACACAGAACTCCCTTGACTAACAGAAAGTACTGGAAGGGTTTGGTGGGCATTGACCTTGAGTTTTGGAGTTGTAGTTCACCTACATCCAGAGAGCACTGTGGACTCAAACAATGATGGATCTGGACCAAACTTGGAACAAATATTCAATATGCACAAATGTGAACATTGGTGGAGTTTGGAGAAAATAGACCTTGGCATTTGGAAGTGATAGTTTGCTGGGATTTATAGTTCACTTACAATCGAAGAGCATTTTGAACCCTAGCAACAATGGAATTGAACCAAACTTCGCACACAGAACTCCCAGGACCAACAGAAAACACGTCAAGGGTTTGGTGGGTATTGACCTTGAGTTTTGGAGTTGTAGTTCACCTACGTCCAGAAAGCACTGTGGACTCAAACAATGATAGATCTGGACCAAACTTGGCACTCAATATGCCCAAATGTGAATACTGGTGGAGTTTGGAAAAATAGACCTTGGCATTTGGAAGTTGTAGTTTGCTGGGATTTATAGTTCACCTATAATCAAAGAGCATCCTGAAGCCCACCAACGAAAGAATTGGGCGAAACTTCCCACATGACAACAAAAAATACTTCCCCATGACAAGAGAAAATAATTTATTTTCTGATGATCTTTGGCGACCCCTTTGACACCCCCCTCGTGACACCCCCAAAGTGTCCCCACCCCTAGGTTGAGAAAGAAGTTTTCACAGTTAGTGGGGCAAGGGGGAAATCTTTGGGTATAATCCCAGACACAGGGAAAGGGCCTCCAGTTTCTCATTTGCAAAAAGTGCAGACACGTGGTAACTTTGAGATTTCCTCACTTTGCAGCAGGAAGCTTGGATTAAGGGGGAAATTCTCCCTGGAGCCCTTGGATGCTTCTCTGGATGAGGATTCTCCTTCAAAAGGGAATGTAAGTGTCTTCCTTTTCTAGAAGAAGGTCCGTTCTCAGACGTTGCCCCTCCACAACACAAGGAGTGACCATCACTAAAAAAAAATACGATTTTATCATTTGGGAGTTGTAGTTGCTGGGATTTATAGTTCACCTACAATCAAAGAGCATTCTGAACTCCACCAATGATGGAATTGAACCAAACTTGGTACACAGAACTCCCATGACCAACAGAAAATACTGGAAGGGTTTGATGGGCATTGACCTTGAGTTTGGGAGTTGTAGTTCAGCTACACCCAGAGAGCACTGTGGACTCAAACAATGATGGATCTGGACCAAACTTGGCACGAATACTCAGTATGCCCAAATGTGAATACTGGTGGAGTTTGGGGGAAATAGACCTTGACATTTGGGAGTTGTAGTCATTGGGATTCACAGTTCACCTACAATCAAAGAGCATTCTGAACCCCACGAATGATAGAATCGGGGCAAACTTCCCACACAGAACCCCCTTGACCAACAGAAAATACTTAAGGTCATCCAATCCAACTCCCTTCATGAGGGCAAGAAAACGTAATCAAAGTCCTCTTGACAAAGAGCCATCCAGCCATATAGATATATATATATGATTCACACACAGAGAGATATGTAGTATAATAGATCTGAAGGTAAAGGTAAAGGTAGTCCCCTGACATTAAGTCCAGTCATGTCTGACTCTGGGGTGTGGTGCTCATCTCCATTTCTAAGCTGAAGAGCCAGCGTTGTCCATAGACACCTCCAAGGTCATATGGCCGGCATGACTGCATAATAGATCTGAAAGGGACCCCTAAAGAAGGACAATGATATGTTGCATGTTCCAGAGTAGGCAAACCAGACACTCTCCACATCAACACTGGCAAAGAAACAGCAAGAAATACTGTTTACTCACACGCAGAAAGAAATAACATATATCAGAAACCAACACTTTCTCATTACTTTTATTTTCCAGATCACCAGACTGGGCCACAGCAACGCCTGGCAGGGGACAGCTAGTATTTTTATATAAACATACATACATATTGTAAATGGGAATGAGGGGCATACACAGGGTTCATATTGTAAGGGATCACGGGTTTAAGGTGCGGGGTCCCTTTTCGAAGAAATCCACAGAGTCCAATAGGTTCATGTAAGACACTGTTTATTCAAGCTGATCAGCATGAGGTGGACAGACAGCACTTCTGTATGTGTTTCCACAGACTGCCGAGCCCTCCTCTGTTTTTGCTGACCTTTATACTCAAGTAATACAAGGGTTTTTTTGGTCATGGGAAGTACTCTCTTTCCAGCCCCCCCTCCCTTGACCTTTTGATGGAAAGTACCTTCTTGCACCTGCAGACTTTGCGCTTAACCACAACCTTTGTGCTTAACCACAACCCAACTTCCTATGTAAGCTCAAATTTTGTTTTTGCTGACCTTTGTACTCAAGTAATACAAGGGATTTTTTGGTCATGGAAAGTACTCTCTTTCCAGTCCCCCTCCCTTGACCTTTTGATGGAAAGTACCTTCTTGCACCTGCAGAATTTATGCTTAACCACAACCTTTGCGCTTAACCACAACCCAACTTCCTATGTAAGCTCGAAATTTGTATGTCACCTCTTGTTTTTAAAACATTTTCTTTCGTGCTGCTCCTTTTCTACAGAGAAAGGGTACATTTCTTATGTTTGTTGTTAAAGGTTTTAGCTATTGCTAATTTCACCCAAAGACCCTTTCAATATGGGAAAAGGGAACATGCAGAGTTGGGGAAAGATCTGTCCTGGTCACCCAGAGTCCATAAAAATTGATATAAAATCCATATAAGCACTGAGCAGCCAAAGTCCATCCATAAAACAAGTTAAGCATTGAACTGAGAGCCCATCTATTCTGCCATATCATGCAGTTTCATTGCATTGAACTGGATCATATGAGTCTACATTGCCACATAATGCAGTTCGACTGCATTCTGAAACTCGGTTATATGGCTGTGTAGATGGAGCCGAGGACTCCATCCATATTATAGCATTTGACATCAGAGTTAATGATCATCGGAGCTGTTCCCGTGCCTTGAAGTTTCATGGAGTTTCCTTCTCTAGAGGTTTTGAAGCAGAGGACTGAAGGCTATCTGTCGAGAGGGTTTTGATTGTGTCCTCTGAATGGCAGGGAATTGAATGGGATGGCGCTAATGGTCTCTTCCAACTTTATGATTCTATCACTCTTGTGTTTTGGAGCAGATGGATTCAGTAATTCAAAACAGGAATACATTTTATAGAATCCTAGAGTTGGAAGAGACCTCCTGGGCCATCCAGTCCAACCCCATTCTGCCAAGAAGCAGGAATATTGCATTCAAATCACCCCTGACACATGGCCATCCAGCCTCTGTTTAAAAGCCTCCAAAGAAGGAGCCTCCATCACACTCCAGGGCAGAGAGTTCCACTGCTGAACGGATCTCACAGTCAGGAAGTTCTTCCTCATGTTCAGGTGGAATCTCCTTTCTTGTAATTTGAAGTCATTGCTCCATTGCGTCCTAGTCTCCAGGGAAGCAGAAAGAAAGCTTGCTCCTTCCTCCTTTTGACTTCCTCTCACATACTTATACATTACCTTTTGTTATATTTTAGGAAATCGAGGATATGGCCCTGTTCCAAAAGACATAGTACCGCTTCTTTCGG